TACTTAAAATTACTTCAGTACAAATTACGTTATTTATTTAAGTAGCACAATTCCTTCAATAGTGTTATCTAATTAAGTTCTCTCTGCAACTGAACTTTGTGGTTTTGTCTGAATTACTGATACTTTGATTGGTAACATTGTAACCCGCCCGCTCCGAATCTTTCACCACCATCAGTTGTGACAACATTTACAATAGGTAATTTAACATGAATTCCTATCGTTCCGTTTGGTCATAACGTAAGTTTATGTTAATAATGCAAGAAAGGTTATCTTATCTATAATAATATTATAAATTGAAAATATTTCTTTGTTTGTATTGAATAGGCTCCGACACTACTGGACCGATTCGAAAAATTCTTTCATATTTAGAATCCTTCATTATCCGTGATGAACATAGCTATAGAGTATTTACAAAATAGTTATGGTTCCGTATGAAAACTTTGATAAAATAACCCAACGTGTGTAAAAAATACCAAAAAATAAACTATGTCGCGTATGCTGCGAAAGTCTTTGACAAAAGAGCAAGGTGATGTACTAAGGTTTTATAGAGGACATCAATATCTACAAAAAAATCAGCAAAGCCATATGTCTAACTATCACAGTTACGTCACAACTAGAGATCCCCTGCGGGAAACAGGTTGTAAGAGGGAGGGAAAACGTGAGCAGACAGAGCATTCCATTTACGGATAGTACGACAAAGAAATGAGTCACCTTTCTTTGTACGCGTATATAATATATTTTCGGTGTTCTGTTCCCTGTATGTATGAAGAAGTTTCCATAACTTTAGGAGTTAGTTGAATGAGATCTGATGAGACACGGTGAAGTCTCTCAACGGGGATGGCGCGGTTTCCCACTTAGAGCGTAGAGGGTTTTCACCCGCGAGAAGAAAAAGGTTACAGTGAGTCAAACTTAAAATATGGTCAATAAGGACATAATATATGCTGTCGCGGACTTTTTTACAGAACTTTAACTTGAACAGAAGGGGAACAATTCCGTCATACATGATTTTTGTGTAACTTAAACCGTTTATCCAACACACGCCACGGAATCTCATAAATGGAATATTTTTACCCGTTTTTGCAACATTTCTCATCGATGCTCCGCTGGTACTGGTCATGGCATGATGTTATATAGCCTATAGCCGTCCTTGATAAATGCACTACTCAATACAAGAATTTTTCAAATCGGAACAGCAGAGTAATAGTGCATTCGGTACAACGGGTCCTAAACTACGCAACAATTTTTTACTTGGAATGTAAGGTTGTGTATAATACCAGCATTTGAACAAAATCTTTACACAACTTTTTTTTTGTCTACACTACAGCTCTATACCGAAGCGAAGCGAGGGCGGGCTACTAGTATCAAATACTTTCATACATTATAGCCTAGTTTTAAGAGGTAGGGCATAGCTGCTTTTACGCTCGAATTGGAGCGCCCGTTTGGGGAAGTAACCTCCATCATGCAGAAAACCACAATAAAACAATAGTACCTTTTGTTGTTCTTGTGTTTCTATCGGTGTCGGTGTGCAAGATTTCCCAGGCTCCAATCCCCTTTTAAATAATAACGACGCTTTTTATACTCTGGTACTTATCATCTAATGATTATAACAAAAAAACGTTTGGATTTGAAATTTCAATTTGACTATGACAGTCGCACACAATACACAAATTTTTTTCTATATATATAAAACTCAAAGGTGACTGACTGACTGACATAGTGATCTATCAACGCACAGCCCAAACCACTGGACGGATCGGGCTGAAATTTGGCATGCAGGTAGATGCTATGACGTAGGCATCCGCTAAGAAAGGATTTTGATCAATTCTACCCCGAAACGAAGCGAGGGCGGGCCACTAGTTACATATAAAATAGAATGACGTATTTTGGATGGGAATAAACAATATTATTGCATTCCATACTTATTTATTGAATGGTTGGGCGCCATTTACAGCCATATAGGTGCGTAATGACATAAGAGCTTTTTCTCTACACAATTTTCAAATCAGTCGACGCATTTATGCAACAAATCGAAAGCGTTTGTAGGATTAGGTCAGGGTAGGTAGCGCGAGTGATTATTTTGGTATCGTCAGCGTCTAGTCTATGGTGGCCGCTTACCATCAGGCTCATATCCTACATGTTTCCCCATGTATCGCATCCGATGTCGCTAAGTCTTTCCGGCTAGAGGTTTCCTCTGAGTGATATTAAGTCAGTGTGATATAACCCTGCAGTTGGCTTTGGGATATGCATTGAGCATTTTCCACCTCCCTCCCCCGCTTTCTGGAGGTTGCTCATTCCCATTACGAAGGGCATGAAAATAAAAATTTAATTCATTATTTATTTTGAAAACGAATACACATTACTATATTCATCCTAACATTGAAGCCAACTAATATCACTGAAATAAAAAGAAAGTTCGTTTCAAGCCAGACATCGCAACAAACCGCTTATCTTTTCAAAAATCTGTTGTCTGTTTCCGTCGTAACTTACAAAGCACATTATAACATGACGCCTTCGGTATTTGTTAATTAAATATAGCTTAAGAGAGATCATACACTACACCCTCACTTTCTCATCAGCCCCGCCCTAGAGATTGACTTGGTGACAAAAATGTTATTAAAAATACATATTCTATTATTATTATAAATATTCTATTTTAGGCTTGTTGAAAATATATCGATGTATCGATATATCGATATTTTTTGCCGATATATTTTGATTCGATATATCGATACATCGATACAAAATAACCAATATCGAAATTCGTATCAAAAACGATATTTTTTTAATTATTAGCGGCATATCACGATCTAACTAAATTCGTATCTGGAAAAATCGTAACTGGATCTCAGATTATTGATATTCAACATATCTATGATCTGTGCTGTATTTAGTATTGTCTATGTCATCATTCGAAAATAGGGTCTATTTTTAGGGAGATAATTTTCGTTCCATTATTATTCCGCGTCTCATATTTCGTGAGCTACTGTCCGATATTTTTGGGAAAATTGGTCCGATATATCGATGTTTTTTTCGCGATATATCGAAGCCGATATTGATATTTTTTAAAAGATCGATGTATCGATATATCGATATTTTTTTCAACTTTCGACATCCCTATTCTATTTGACGACCTCCGTGGCCGAGTGGTTTGTACGCTGGGTTTCATGGCGTCGCCGACTCGAGAGGTCCCGGGTTCGAATCCCGGTGGGGGCAGATGTTTGTGTGATGAACACGAGCATTTCTACTCCAGTCATGGATGTTTAATATGTATTTCTATATAAATATACTTATATATGTATAGTATATGTATTCTATCCGTTATCCTAGTATCCCATAACACAAGCCTTATAGTGCTTACTTTGGGGCTAGGCTAATTGGTGTGAGTGTTGGAAATATTTATTATTATTATTATTGTATCCGTTACCCTCCCTAGTGTCCTTTAAGACAAGCCTTACAGTGCCCACTTCGGGGCTTGCGGTGGGCTAATAAATGCGAACAATGTTGACGATCTCCTCTCTCTCTATCGGAGTTTTTCGAGATAGATAGGGTACAACAGATTTTCCGAATTTCTAGAATCGGAGCGCTGGTCTGAGAAAATAACCTCCACTTATTATACTTATAGATCGTAGAGAAATAACGACGCTTTTTATACTCTGGTACTTATCATCTAATGATTATAACAAGAAAACGTTTGGATTTGAAATTTCAATTTGACTATGACAGTCGCACACAATACACGAAATTTATTCTATATATATAAAACTCAAAGGTGACTGACTGACTGACATAGTGATCTATCAACGCACAGCCCAAACCACTGGACGGATCGGGCTGAAATTTAGCATGCAGGTAGATGCTATGACGTAGGCATCCGCTAAGAAAGGATTTTGGTCAATTCTACCCCGAAGCGAAGCGAGGGCGGGCCACTAGTTACAAATAAAATAAACAATATTATTGCATTCCATACTTATTTATTGAATGGTTGGGCGCCATTTACAGCCATATAGGTGCGTAATGACATAAGAGCTTTTTCTCTATACAATTTTCAAATCAGTCGACGCATTTATGCAACAAATCGAAAGCGTTTGTATAGTTAATTAACATTCAAATGCAGCAGCAACAACGAACGTAATTCATTTCATTGAAGCCCTACCGTTATCTTAATTACAATGTCGAAATCATGAAACATGGAAAAAAGATTTCGATTAACTAAAGATTTATGTTTTGAATGACAAAGGGTAACCCATTTAGATGTGACAATAAATTGAAAGTGCCTAGTTTTCTACACCAAAATAAGAAGTTCTACGATACTTAAACTTACCTATAAAGTATTTACCTTATATAAATAAATAAATATTACCAACACTCACACCAATTAGCCTAGCCCCAAAGTAAGCACTGTAAGGCTTGTGTTATGGGATACTAGGGTAACGGATAGAATACATATATTGTAAAAGTATATTTATACAGAACTACATATTAAACATCCATGACTGGAGTACAAATGCTCGTGTTCATCACACAAACATCTGCCCCCACCGGGATTCGAACCCGGGACCTCTCGAGTCGGCGACGCCATGAAACCCAGCGTACAAACCACTCGGCCACGGAGGTCGTCAAATAGAATATTTATAATAATAATAGAATATGTATTTTTAATAACATTTTTGTCACCAAGTCAATCTCTAGGGCGGGGCTGATGAGAAAGTGAGGGTGTAGTGTATGATCTCTCTTAAGCTATATTTAATTAACAAATACCAAAGGCGTCGTGTTATAATGTGCTTTGTAAGTTACGACGGAAACAGACAACAGATTTTTGAAAAGATAAGCGGTTTGTTGCGATGTCTGGCTATCCGCTATCCGTTAGGATAGAATACATATATTGTAAAAGTATATTTATACAGAAATACATATTAAACATCCATGACTGGAGTACAAATGCTCGTATTCATCACACAAACATCTGCCCCCACCGGGATTCGAACCCGGGACCTCTGGAGTCGGCGACACCATGAAACCCGGCGTACAAACCACTCGGCCAAGGAGGTCGTCAATATTAATGGTCCAATACTAAAGTGGAAATTAGAAGCAACGATCGGTGGTTGTATTTATAGCTTTCAGAAAGTAATCCAAATTATCATTATAAATGCAAACGTGTGTCTGTGTTTCTGTTACCCCTTCACACATAAACCTGATTTGAATGAAATTTGGTATCGAGATGGAGGTTTATGTCCCGAAAAAGGACATAGGATCGTTTGTATTCTAGAAATTATCCTTTGAGAGAGTGAAAAGAGAGGTGGAAGTTAGTTTGGGAAACCAATATTTCCACGTGGACGAAGTCGCGGACATCCACTAGTATTCGAGAAATAATCTAAGAGGAACGAAACGCAGGGGACAAATTAGGCCGTTCAGGCAAACGTATCTGTAAAATATTTTAAGATGTCATAGTACCTATGTCAGTTCCGAAGTATCTCAATTTATCTCAATAGATATGCATGCACATTTTGCGCTTGTGCGATGTCGTATTCGCAAAAAATTAAGTGGGGGCATCAGAACGACACTAATAAATATAAAACTGTCCGTCAAACCGCGTCGGTATAATCTTGACACAGTAAGAAGCTGAAATTATCATGCACCTACTGTATTTTTTAATTAGTATAAAAATTACATTTTGAACACATCAATAGTGACATTTAAATCCAGCCAAGAACCAGAAACGTCTCCAGAGGCGAGCTCGGAGTCGGGGCGCGCGCAGTGGAGCGTGTCCGCGCTTGGGCAACCGCCGCCGCGACAAAACCGGCCCGCGCCGCCTCCCGCGCGACACTCCGCTCGCGCCATGCGCCCGCCCGCGCCGCTGCTGCTGCTATTGGCCGCGGCCTGCGTATCACCCGCAACCCTCGCCGACGACACCCTCGCCAACGACACCCTCGCAGAACCGCGAAACCTCAATGACTCCTCGATCGACGTCGACGAAGACCGACCTCTCCTCAACAGGACCGTGATCCTCGACGATGCGACCGACGAAACCCTCGCCGAGACCGACGACGACCACGAGCCGGTCGTCAGGAAGAAGCGGACCTTCGGCGATCTAGTGTTCAGGGGGCTCGCCGACGTGCTCGGCTACAACGTCGCTCGGAAGGCGACGCCGTTCCCGCCGCCGTTGGCGCCCGTGCCGGGGATCGATGCGCCGTTCCAAGCCGCGCCTGCGGCCGCTCCTGCGCCTGCGCCTGCGCCGGCGCCCGCCCCCGCTCAGGTGCCGCCGTGTGGAGCGCCCCGGGCCGTGGGTCCCCCGCCGTGCCGGGCGCAGTTGCCGCCTCCCCCGCCCCCGCCTCCTCCCCCGCCGCCCCCGCCGCCATGCCCCAGGCCCCGGCCGGTGGTGAGGCCGCCTCCCCCTCCTCCCCCGCCGCCCCCGTGCGCGGGCCGCGCCACCAACCCCGCCACCCCGGCTCCGTGCGCGCCCCCTCCGCCCCCGCCTCCCAAAGACAACTTGGAAAGGATCTCCTCGAACTTCCGGCTCGATTTCAATTTCATAAGAAGCACGCCGGGCCCGCCGGGAGCCGCCGTCGAAGCGCAACCCCAGCAGTTGCAAGCGACTCCGGCGATCGCCGCGGCGCCGATCGCTCCCGTCGCGATTCAACCGCGAGCCGCCAGGTTGCCTCCGGAGGAACCCCGCACTCCGCGAGTCTACGTCGACGCGTTCGTTGTGAGAAACGGAGTAGCGCAACGCGTCAACGCTGTGGATGCGCGTCGGCTGAACCCCCAGAACGCTTTGGTGGAGGACGATTACCTGGCTTATGACGAGGTCCCCGAAGCTCAGAACCTCGACGATGAGGACGATTACGAGGACGCTCAGGAGTCCCGAGATCGGACGAAAGCGGTGCAGGATTTCGGCACGGCGGTGGGTAATTTCTGGGATGCCAAACAGAAGCAAAATCTACCCAGAAAGAAGCAGGCGCCTTTGGACTACAGAAATGTCCATTTCGGTGATCGAAACTTGGCTAACCAAATTAGGCGATCCGATAATCCAAACTCTCACCAGAGTTTACAACGCAATCGACCTAGAGCCAACCGTATTCCTTTGCAACAGCCCGAAGCACCCGAGGATGATTCCGAAGTGACGACGACGACCGAAGATCCCCGACGACCGCTGAAACCGCGTGTGCTTCCCCCCACGGAACAAAACCCTGGCGAAATCGACACGGTGACCGTTAGAGTGCCTCCGATATACAAAGAGAAACGGCCGAAAAAATTACATCGCGAAAGACCGGAAGTAGACAGATTGGATCATGACGATGGATCGCATCACGATAGATCAGATTATGACAGACCGCACCGTCATAGACCAGACCATGATGACGATCGAAGCAGCAGGGAGGTCGCAAACTCAGGCGAGAAAAATTACTATTACCAGGAGAACGACACAGACGGCGAGGATAGTTCCAACTACCCTCAGACCGAGAAGCCCGTTAGACGCAAACGCCGCCGCAAGAGTCGCAAGACGCGATCCACCAAAGAAAAAGAAGAACAAAAAGAAAAAGTGAAAGAAGAAGATCCATTCACAGCCGGTGACTACGATTATTACGGTCGAAAGCTACCTATCTCGGAGGAAGAAAAGTATTTCAGAAGCTTGACAATCCCAGACCCAGCGGAAGATAAGGACTTGGCGCGTCTCGAACAAGCACCGGAGAAAGTCGACTATTTCTTAGACGATCACGAGCGATTACGCGAAGATCCCGAAAGGATAGGCGAAAGGGAGAGGCTCGACGACAAGGGGCGAACGGACGAATCGGGTCGGCTCGAAGACGAGAAGGAGGAGGAGCTATCCGAGAGCGAAAGGATAACCGTGCAACACAAAGACGACGACAGCGAGCGTGCCGATGAGCGGGAAAGGGCCGACGAAAAGGAGCGAGCGGACGAGCGCGAGCGGGCCGGGAGCGGGGAGCGCGCCGACGAGCGCGAGCGCTCCGACAAGCTGAGCCCCAACGCGCGCGTCACCGAGACCGGCTACAGGAACAACTACGTGCGCGCCACCAACGTGCAGGTGGAGTCGCCGAGCCCCGGCCTCATCACCCACGCGTCGCCCAAAACGTGACCCGACGCCCTTCCCGCAAGCACCCGCCATAAGTTATTTATTTAAATCAGATGAAGCCACCGCTCCTTCCAACTTCATAAAAGTGGCTCTGTAGTTGTAGTCTTTTTTTGTATGTTTGTATTATATAACGGCTTCCATAGACGCAGAAAGCGAGAAATGAAACGACTGCCTGTGATGTTCTAGTTGTAAAAGTTCGTACGTGAGACTCGCCTTCGAAGATGTCACGCGACGGCATGAATAGTTTATATTTTTGTATTTAGCGCTTTAGTATAAGAGAACTGTACCTAAGTTTCTTAATAAACGATTTCGTAAATAATTGATTTCATTGCTAGTTTTGTTGGATCGATTCGACTGGAGTCGATGCGTGAAATTCGAATTTTGATCAAGGCACGTCGAATCAGCGACAACGTCTGTCGACTATATGGGTGAAGGTCCAGGCGCGGGCGCGATGCGAAATAGAAAACGACGCGAGAAACTGCGGCTTGTTTCAAGATAGTGCAATGACCCAAATGCTGTTTTTTGTCTCTCGGCCAGCGCCAACGGCGGCCCCCGGCGATATTGCACCGCCAACTATCTACTCAAAACTTTAACTATTGCAACAATAGAGAAACTTTTAAATTTAAATTAAATATAGTAATGAAAGAGTTACATAAAGACATAACTCCTAATATCAAGCCTATTACCAGCGTTACATTCTGCTTTATATCACTTCCAAAACGGCAAAATAGAAAATATTGACCCAATCGCGCAGCTGGTAATCTATTAAAAAAGGAAATCAAACAAGAAAACAATGCGGATGACACAATTTATTTTGCGAGCAATCAGTGAGATTGGCCGTCGCGGCGACCTTGACCGAGGCGAATCGAGCGCCGCGAGCGATTTCACTTAATACGTTTGTGTATATAAAAACATATCAGGTGGAACCTATTCACCTTCATGGCAAATCATTGTTAAACTTGTCGACTTAACATCGAATATAATCAAATTAGTATATTTCGGTCTGATTAATTTCAGGGTCTTCTGGTGGACACTAGTATTCAAGTCCTGCAGTTTCTTTGAATCCATTAATATTAAGATTATTTCAATTCACGGCTTCGGTATCTGCATCTGTGGACAAATAACGCTTGTAAGTTAGGTAAAGTAGGTAATTTTCAAAAATGCATTCTAGATCATGCGAAATGTTGATTGTATTCAGAGCGAGGATGTTAGGAAACTGTAATCGTGACTGACACTCAAAGTAAGGTTCAGAAGCTGCCTGGTTTCAGGGGCTCTCGTAATAATGGCCGAGTTACGCGATTATTAAGACGCTCGGTTATCTTCTTACTTTTAGAATAGTTATCATGCCTAGACCAAAAAGAGTACAGTTGCTAAGTGAATGAAATCCTTGAAATATTTCATGACGAGTTAAATTCACTACGAAATCCAGTTTTGCTTTCATTTCAGCGACCGGCTTGGAAGATTTAAGCAATTCCGGAGGAAAACGAAGTCGTATGCATCAAAAGAAAAATTAATGCACTTACAAGAATTAATTTACTTATCGAAAGGTTTGCACCCATTATTAATCTTACACGCCTATATAACATACATAACAGTCAATTTAAAACTTCTTTCTACATTGAAAATTCTACACCACAATCGATCAATAACAAAATTACATAATTCTAAATTATGGGGCAGTGACAAAAGCATTCAGTCTGATACAATTTGAAAAAAAAACATATACAATTACGCCATTTATATCACTTGCTTGAATCGGTAAGAACTCGTAGATTCAGTTAGATTTTGTCATGGGGTAGATACTTATCAATGTTAAGGGTTATATGGTACGAGCTAGTAGATCTCCTCTACCATCTACTATAGTTTGCCTAGATCGTGTAAACGTGTCGTGAATTCGTGAGTCCCTAATGACTGTCAAGCACTACCTAGAGTTACGTACTGTCAATCGATACCTACAGAAATCACGTCAACTGATACCTTATCTACCAAAAAATAGCACGGACTTTTTGGCGTCACTTTAGCAGTTTTGTTTTTCTTGTTAAAATTTGTGTTGTGGCGGATGTTAGTGTCTAATAATGGTGGATTATTAACCACTAAGTGCTCGGGAACATGCACAAGTGTTGGCAAGTGAAACAAAATAGCGGAAAGTGTCTTTCGATGTTCCCTCAAGAAGTCCACGGGGAGGTTCCAGTAAATCTTCACACATTTACTGAAACATAGGGAAAGGGGGATTGACTCGACTGCCACTTACTTTGACTTGATTTATTACTTTGACCACGAGTGCTATAGAATGGTAAACATTTTAACACTTGACATTGGCTAAATGCACAAGCCGTGCGAAGCCATTTAGGAAAAAAAATGGAAGCAGCACTTATTTATTCATCTTCTTGTGTTTAATTTTCATAGTGACAAGTACCAGTCCTACATCTTTTTGGAGTGAAACTTCTTTACGCACGCTTGACTTGGGTGGTAAGCTGGTGTACAAGCCATTTTAATTATATTTTATTAAGTTTGCATTCCGAGTCGATGCACTCTAAACTGCTGACACAGTTGACCCACTAATTGGTTTAAGAACAATATTTTACATTAAATGACAGTGCAATAAAGGCATTCGCATCATATTGACGTATTTTAATAATTATCTCCTGACAATCGTCCCGTGACCGTGGCTAATTGACATATTGACAGTCGTTAGGGTCCTAGTAACGGCCCCTACAGCTGGCTAATGCGTTACGCGTTACAAAAAGTATGTACGGGCGTTTAAGGGGTAGCAAACAATCATGTGGCCCGCCTGATGTTAAGCGGTCACAGTAGCCTATAGGCGCTTGCGATACCAAAAATATCACTCGCGCCGTTCCTACCCTGACCCCATTCGCTAACACGGTGGAGCCCTGGAACCTTACTCACCGAAAGAAGCACAACACCACCAAAATTTAGTATTATTTTATTGTGGTCTTCTGTAAGGTGGAGGTTATTTCCTGTGTGACCAACCTTAAATTAGAGATCCTGCCCCGCTTAGGCAAAGAAACTGACAAATCCTGCCAAAATTTTAGGCACAAAGCGCCGAAATAATGCCCATATATCGATAACGCTGATCTGTCCTTTTTATGACATTGACAAGTTGGCGCTGCCTTCAATACAGGTAGTTCCAATTTTTGCCCCGCTGGAGAACGGGAGGGCGCTACTATGCATACTAAGTTCCTAGTTTTTGCCACAGGACTGTTAAGTGTTATTCCACTATACAATTTTGTATACTACTACGCGATATAATTGTTCATATTGACGTTTCATTGTATTATGGTAACCATTCGACACACCGCACGAAATCAGAAACAAAATAAAATTGTGTCTCCGACAGTTTTTCTAGTCCGACTAATTACATAAACAACTGACAAATAAAAATAAAGGTAGGTAATATAAACATTATGTTCCACACTTTATGGTTTACAATGGAATGCACTACAAATTCGACTTTTTAAAATTCCTTCGTACTGTTTTTTCTTTTGTCGATCCGCACCCTACTCATTTAAATAAATAAAAAAAACTTAAATTGCTATAAACTGCATTATTAATTTATTATTTTTATTATAACAGACTTGTTTGACGTTTTAGAAATCTGGCAGTATTTGTACTGCCAGATTTCTAAAACGTCAAACAAATCTGCCACAGAGTAAAATAAATGGCTAAACCTGCCGAAAAGGCAGGATCCTGCCACATATGGTCACCCTGGTTATTTCCCCATACGGGCGCTCCGATTCGAGCGGGCTAGCCTAGTAAGAATGATTGTTCTCGCTCTGCAAAACATCGAGCTGCATGGCGACGCATCGCGATTGCATCAGTGGCACAAGAATCGACCGAGACATGACCACGACCACTCTGTCTAGAGTGCACGACTAGGAAGAAGAAGCCTAGTAAGGCCAGCCCGCTCGAATCGGTAAGGCTATAATCTAAAAGGCTCAAAGGTATAGTGGTAAGCACGTTTACTTTGGTTCTGTAATCGCTGAGAAGTCAACAATGGCAGGTCCTAGAAATGGTAACACAAAATTCATTATCTCGAGCCATTCCGTCAATCGGAAGACGCTTTTAAGCTGTCAGTCCTGTTGCATTTGCAGTCGTTAGCACTTCCTAAGCCATGCTGTATTTGCGACATAGCAATTCCGTTCATAGGGAAAATCTGTGCTCCAGCTTGATGCTAATGAGACTGCCAGCTGGTTAGCATGAGTAAAGATCGAAGTCATAGAGAATGAATTTGGATATTCCAACACTAAAGAAAGAGAAACAGACACTACATATACGAAGTTTGAATGTTGTTTTAGTTTACTGTTTAACAGAGAACGCTCAGTCTATTTATTATTCAGAAGAAGAACTAAAGCTGATTAAGCACATAAGCAATCTATGTTGTTTGAGCGAACACTCCCATAGACGATAGATTGACGAAAAGATTTCCAAACAAAGTATTACCCAACCAAATAGTGGCGTGTTGGCAGGTTGCATTTACATTAGATCTTTTTTCGATTAGGTATTACGATACTTAATTGAAAAGAGATCTAATGTAAAAGTTCACCAATAATAGGGATGATGACTATATTTTTTTTCTTCGTTTATCAGGTAGATTATCAAAAAGTATTGGAGCCGTATTTTTTCTTTTTTCACATAATATAAACATTGCAGAGATATATTGATTTGAAAAGTCGCATGACGTCACGTTTGAGTATACTTATGTGAAGTGAAAATTCACTCAAAAGTGACGTCACGAGCCCCTACTCCCAAACTTTGACGCGCTATAACTTTGTCATATTTTGGTTGATTGCCCAAAGAAAAAATACGTGTCCATTATTTTTTGATCATCTAACTGACGGACTCAATAGAATTTCGTTTACTGCACCCCGTCATCACCCCTATTATCCCTTTTTGGGTCTATATGTATACATAATATAACTATATAGTCGACTTTATGAGTTGAATTTACACATTTTTGTTTCTTAGGTTTTCACGCACATCACTCATTAAATAAAACTAGTTTTTACGGGTTAATGCACGAAACTTTATTTATTTATTGACGTTTCGCAGAATAATGACTATTCTGACGATGCAGACCTGAAAAGGCTGCGAAACGTCAATAAATAAATAATGTTTCGTGCATTAACCCGTAAAAACTAGTTGAATTTACACTCTTGCTTTGCTTCAGTTCTTGTTCTGTGAGTAAAGATAAAGAAAAACCTACATTCCGTTCTCTCAGATGTTTTTAAGCGACCGTGGATGCTGATAGGTGCCGATGTAAGCGCTATTCTTAATGTCTATAAAGATAAAAAAAGAATAACCTGCAAGCCGTTGCGTTATCGCCAGAGCCCTCTTTCAGAGTGGGCATTTTGGGCAAGTGCCCAGGGCCCCGCGATGGATAGGGGCCCCCCTCAGATCAAATACAAAGTCCCTAGTTCCTGTTAAATCACCAAACGGGGGTCGTAGGGGCCCCATTATCCTAATATCACTAATAGCGTCACTAAGCGCGTTCTATCGTCTATACCACGGCGAGTATTCTGAGGAGTTATTCTCTCTTATCCCACCTTCCCCTTTCCTTCAGAGGACCACGCGCGCTGGCCTACGTTGTCACCGTCTTACTGTGGCTACAATTCCAACGCGTACAAAGAAATTTGGTGACTCATTTCTTTGTCGCACTATCCGTAAATGGAATGCTCTGCCCGCTCACGTGTTCCCTCCCTCTTCCAACCTGGGATCCTTTAAAAGAGGCGTGAAGAAGCAACATGCAGGCCGGCAGGGTGAGGATGACTGGTGTGGCAGGTAGAACTGCTGTTTCAGCTATCTTCGCTTCTGGACTTCACCTTCACTTAACATCAGGTGGGGTGGAGTCATTTGTCGGACCTATCTATAAAAAAAATGGGTGCGTGTACTTATGTAGGCGCGTGAGAAGTTATCCTTCTTTGGCATCGTTTAAAATTAGTTTTTAATTGCATGCAAATAATTAATTACAATAAATGAATAAAAAGTCTGGAAAAGGACACAGTCAATAAAGTTCAGTTTTAATTTGAAAAAATAAATAAATAATCAAAATATTCAATTAAAATCGCTACTGAATATAATTTATTAGAACATATGTGATTTGCACTTGTATGAAACTCAAACACGTATTCCGAATATACAAACTAGAAACATGTGGATAAATATTATAAATATGAATACCTATAACTGTTACTTTATTACAAAAAATAAAGATGTGGTTTTTGGTTCTACTACACCAATGGTCAAGAGATGGCGCTGTAGTCTCCTGAATCGCGCTTTGGTTCCGTTGTTCCAGATTAATAAATACTTTTGATAGGCCTTCACAATGCAGTCGTTAGCACCCACTAAATAGAGATTCTATTTCTATTTTGTTGGTAGATTTAAGTAACAGCATGGAGTTGGTCGCTAAAGCGATGCGCGCTCATCTTAAAATTTCACTCTCATCATTTTTTCATAACGCGCCTAAAGAAGTATAACTTCAAAAAATGCCCAGGGCCTCCAATAGGTCAAAAACGGCACTGGTTGTCGCAGATGTTTCCTAAGTGACTGTGGATGCTCATAGGCGACGATGAAAGCGCTACTCTTAGTATCTATAAAGGGAATATAAAATGCGTGTTGCTGTCGGAGATGCCTCCAAATCGACTGTGGGTGTTGAAAGGTGAGACGCGAGCTTACCATTAGTCGCAATTAGGGCTGCCATCCGTCCGGGTTTCCCCGGATTTGTCCTAGTTTACGGGGCGTTTCGGGGAGCGTCCCGGCGGGGTTTTATTTGTAGTCCGGGTTTAAAAATTTACGGCAACGCATGAGTGGCCCTTGGTGCTGCAAGTGTCCATGGGCAGCAGTGACCACTTATTATGAGGTACACCGCTAGTTCTTTTGCCTAGATCAACATAAAAAAGTTGATTTGTGACATTTTTATAACTGTTTTTTTATTGGTCTGTCCGGGTTCTGGGCTTCAAAATCCGGGGTTATCACGCGTCTTATCCTGGTTGCCACATTTTAGAGATGGCAGCCCTAGTCGCAATGCAACTCGTGCACGAAACGAACGCGTGCATCCTGAACCTAGCTGTCTTTTTATAACCTACGTGCTGCTTTCGCTGATAGCCGGCGATATAGAGAAAATAATCACTAGGGTGCGGCGAAACCGAGTGAACGACATAGTCTCATGTTTGAATTTCGCTGAAGAAGCTGCTGCATTTATCTGAAAATGTGCACGTATAGAAAGTAATAAAGAAAGAATAACCTGCGTGCTGTTTTCGCAGATGTTTTTTTGTTGACCGTGGGTGTGCGTGGATAAGCGGCGGCATAGAGAAAATAATCACTAGGGCGGCGAGGCAACTCGCTGGAAAAGCTGCTGCATTTAGCTGATGATATCCATAGAAACCGGTGCACAATGTGCACGTACCTATAGAAATAAAGAATGAATAACCTGTATGCCGTCGTCACAGATGCTTCCTTATTGAGTGACTGCGGGTGTTGATAACCAGCGGAGTGAACGTATATTACTAGAAAAAAATCCGAAACCGCACACTGATCATTATGCTACCGCGGCCCTGATGGCAGTGTCGAATCATTTCTAGCCTTTCTTAAGCTGCAAATAGCGCCATCTTTTCGCATTGTACTCGTAGGTAACCCAACCCCACAATGTCAAATGAATGTCTTCTTTCAAATGCCTAATACTTGGAAAGGTATTCATTTGACATTGTGGGGTTACCTACAATGCGAAGAGATGGCGCTGACTTGCAGCTTAAGAAAGGCTAGAAATGATTCGACACTGCCATCAGGGCCGCGGCAGCATGATGATAAGTGCAATTGCCTAGATATCGAAGGGTGCGGGTTCGAGTCCCGTCTGCTGCCTGGTCCGCGTGGATCTTTTCCTAGTAACATTTTCTTAAGATTTAAACATCGTCCAGTTACATGTTTTTTTTTAATTGTAGTCATTCTTTTATCTTTATGGTTGAGCTAAAAAAATAATGACCTGCATGCCGTTGTCGCAGATGTTTCCTAAGTGACTGCGGGTGCTGATATGCGGCGGGGCAGCGAGGGCAGCGATGATCTCGCGCGGGGGGAGCGTGGGTCAGCGAGTGCGACGCGAGCGCACGGTGAGTCGCGAACGAACGCGCGCACGAACCGCATGCGTGCGCCCTGTGCCCCGCGCCCGCGTGTGCTCGCAGGTGGGCCGCGAGCTTGTTCGTCGCGAACTGCCGCCCGCACACCGGGCACATGTACGGCTTCACGCCTGGTGAAACCAACATCAGCCTATTAAGGCCTGTCTGCTACGCAATGTTTTGAAATACGGGGGCGTCTATAAATGAGGGCTATCGCGTATGAATCCGCCGCTAGAGGCGCTAGTGTAGCGTGAGGTCTCCGAAATGTCAAATGTTATTGCTTGTTGGTTGACTACGCGGGTTTATTTCTAATTAAAATAATGTTGTTAATAATTGGTAACAATTCGGCTTAATTATGGAAAATATGAGTTATGTGGCAATGCATGTCAGTTATTAAAAATTTGAGCTTAGAAAAATGATTATGTTCCCATTTTTTCCGAATAAAACGGAACTGCGCGTCACTGTGGCATGGCCTATTATGTTTAGGATATGGTTCTTTTGTGTTAAAATACGATCTAAATGTAACCTTTGATTTCATGTACGTATTAATAAACTTTAAAAGTTACAATTTAGGACCTCACTCAACAGTGGCGCCATCTGGTGAGGCAGAAAACGGTAGCCCTCATTACGTGAGATGTTTAAGGGGAGGAGGGGGTCGAGTCAAATCTCATCTAATCTTACGTTGGAGAGAGGAGGCGTCTCGGCAAATATCACGCAATATTTTTTCACAGTAGTATCTATTAAGTATTCTATTATTAAATTTTTATTACACTTATAACTCTCAGCAATATTGATTACTAGTCTTAACTAGTCGTAAATGAAAGCACGAAGCATTTTTTTTTCCTTTTACAATAACCAACCAACGAGTTTACGTAAGAAACCCACATTGTGAAAAATCACGTGAGAATGGGGGATGGGGGAGGGGGTTGAATAAAATCTCACGACATCTCACCAGGGGGGGAGGGAGGGACAGAAAATCCAAAAAAACACCTCACGTAATTTATGGACGCCCTCTAACATTGTTTGTTCAAAACATTTCCCGTCCGCTGCGACTTTAGCAATGTTCATTAAACAAAGACTTTTAACAAAATAAAACACATAAAAAAAAAATGCAGCGACTAAGAAGACGAAAACATTGTTTACGTTGTAGTGGATATAGTTCTCTTTTCCTTCTCGATTGAATTGTGATCTAAGTCTCAACCATTTTGTGCTCACAGAGTTCACAGAAGTGCCTATAACCTCCGCCGCTTACGCGAAGGCATCTGATTTTTTGTTTTATTTTTATCTTCATTTGTAGTTGCATCCAAAATTACAACTCTCACATATCAACATGATTAATTCCAATGTTGTCTCTGGATTCCACTCCACAATGCACTCCATCGTGATAGTCGTCACATCAAAACACTAAATAAAATCAAACATTAAATGAACGATTCCCCACGCCCGCAGACGAACGCGGGGGATGTTTACTACAAACTCGGGCAAACACTTTCAAGTATATTTGCTCGACAAAACATTTAGACCACACCCCTAATTTATGTTTTCAAACAATGTTCTGTTCACAAAATGGCCCAGCAGACGCGCCTTTAGGCTCCGTTCCCATAACCAGTCTCAAACTAATTGACCGATTGTATTACTCAAAATAAATTGTATGTGTGTGTAGTTTAAAGAAAAGGTACAGTTGATAGATTTCTTCAAGACTCTGTTCGGCTCCGCGTATCTACGCTTTTGTCGAAACGTAGCCATAATGTCCCTTCTGCTGGCCTTCCCTGTGGATGGAATAGGGAGATTAGGCCATAGCAATGACCCCCCACGCGAACTCAATGATGAGTGCTAACAATTGCAGATGCAGCCGAAATTAACTTCCTTCCGAAACACGGGGGAGTTTGAGATAAAAAAAAATATTCTATTGCGAAAATAGCCCAAGTTCCACGATTGCAAACGACGAACAAACTACATGCGGTCACAAGCTCCTCTTATAGGAAATCATAATTACACATAGAGAAAGCACTCAGTGTTACTCACATGAGCTTATCAACTTGAGAAAAATATGGTGCAATAATAGTGCAGCCAATAATATGTATTTGTGTATAAGAATTAAATTAAAAAATGGGTGCGTGTACTTATGTAGGCGCGTGAGAAGTTATCCTTCTTTGGCATCGTTTAAAATTAGTTTTTAATTGCATGCAAATAATTGATTACAATAAATTAATAAAAAGTCTGGAAAAGGACACAGTCAATAAAGTTCAGTTTTAATTTGAAAAAATAAATAAATAATCAAAATATTCAATTAAAATCGCTACTGAATATAATTTATTAGAACATATGTGATTTGCACTTGTATGAAACTCAAACACGTATTCCGAATATACAAACTAGAAACATGTAGATAAATATTATAAATATGAATACCTATAACTGTTACTTTATTACAAAAAATAAAGATGTGGTTTTTGGTTCTACTACACCAATGGTCAAGAGATGGTGCTGTAGTCTCCTGAATCGCGCTTTGGTTCCGTTGTTCCAGATTAATAAATACTTTTGATATTATAAATATGAATACCTATAACTGTTACTTTATTACAAAAAATAAAGATGTAGTTTTTGGTTCTACTACACCAATGGTCAAGAGATGGCGCTGTAGTCCCCTGAATCGCGCTTTGGTTCCGTTGTTCCAGATTAATAAATACTTTTGATAGGCCTTCACAATGCAGTCGTTAGCACACACTAAACAGAGATTCTATTTCTATTTTCTTGGTAGATTTTCTTAATGTGCGGTAAACACAAAAGTAACGCATGAAGTTGGTCTTGAATGAAGCTTTAGCGACCAACTTCATGCTGTTAAAATTTTGTGTTACAGTGATGCGCGCGCATCTTAAAATTTCACTCTCATCATTTTTTAAAACGCGCCTAAAGAAGTATAATTTCAAAAATACAAAACAGATGATTACCACAATAATCAGCACAGTATTTTTATAGGATAGGATTAGGTATAGGTCAGCTATTTATTTATTTGTTGTCCTTAATAAATAAATAAATAGCTGACCTTTACCTAATCCTGCCCTGTGGAGTGGACTAATATATATTTGTGTATAAGAATTAAATAAAAAATACGGAACAGATGATTACCACAATAATCAGCACAGTATTTTTATAGGATAGCATTAAGTATAGGTCAGCTATTTATTTATTTGTTGGCTGTCCTTAATAAATAAATAGCTAACCTTTACCTAATCCTCTGCCCTGTGGAGTGTTTGACCTTACTGATAGAAACATAAAGCTACCAAAAATAGGGATTGTTTGTAAATACTAATTCTGCACGAATTCTGACATTCGTACGAAATTGGTATTTACAACAACAATTTTTCAACACATTTGCGAAAAGACAGTATCTATCTATACCTAATTTATGTAATGTAGTAAACTTTTTTTAATAAGAAAATGGCGCCACGAGCGGTTGGTAAAAATTAGAACTACATCTTTCGTACCTTTTTCTTTTTAGAACTAAAGTGAGACAAAGGTATAGATTAACATAGCTTCCAAGGAGGTTCATCCGAAATAAAAAAAAACCGGACGGGACAACGTTAAAACGTTTTACCGCACGCTCCGTTATATTGCCTGTAATTTTGAACTTTCCAACAATGTATACAACCTCCGTAAATGTATTTTTTAACAAATGTGTTGAAAAAACTATTTCCATTTTCATTCAATAAAGAAAGATCACCCATATTCATATCCCTAAGGATAAATAAAATATAATTTTAGTCATTTTTTTTTGTGTTCTACTAGCAGCCGCCCGCGACTTTATCCATACCACAGGCACTTATCACTGTTCCGGGATAAATAGTAACCTATGTCTCAAACTAGGCCATAATCTTTACGCATACAAAATATCGTCTAAATCCATTTAGTAGTTTTTACGTGATTGAGTACCTAACAATCGTACGAACATACAAACTTTTACATTTATAATGTTATTGTGATTTATTATATTTGTTCAATCCATTTCAAAGCCTAAAAATGTACCTGTGTGAGTCCTCAGATGATCATTCAAAGTATTTTTGGTTGTGAATGTCTTGCCACACTCGGTACAAGCGTGAGGTCTTTCACCTGCAAAACAGTAAAAACATATAAATTCAACTAAAATATAATAGATTATTATCTAATGGAAATAAAATATTATGAGAAATAATTCCACTCTTCTGTTATCTGGACTGATAGCAGAAGATGCGGACACAAATGTGGGTTCGAATACCTTCTGAAACCAGGACCATTTGATTTCTTACAAATAATATTAATACTTTTAAGGCCGATTTTTCAAAACTCTGATAAAACTTAACTGTTCAATAAATTAATACTCAATCAAATAGAGATGTCATCCATCACATTATACCAATTAACACAAGTCAACTCTTTATTTTGTCTGTATTATATACAATATCAGACAGTACTCCTTCCTTAAAGGCCAGCATCGCATTTGTGATACTCCTGGTGTTGCAAGTGTCTATGGGCGGATTCGCAAGAATCCACTCGCTGCAAACAACGTTGGTCACGCGCAGACGTGCGAATTCCGTCGAATGAGCGCGCGTCTTTTTAAATCTCCAAAGTAATTTGTTTCTTAGGTTTTCACGCACATCACTCATTAAATAAAACTAGTTTTTTACGGGTTAATACACGAAACTTTATTTATTTATTGACGTTTCGGTAGTTAGGGTCAAATAAATAAACTCAACAAAAATTACAAAAAAAGAATTTTAAATAAAATACTTTATTAAGTAAATTAAGTAATAAATTCATAAATAAACAATAAAACTTTAAAAATTGAACAATGAAATAACCAAACGCTCAATAAAAGTCTTTCGAAGGTAGCTCAACAAAATTAAATAAAAATTTGATTCCGACGACGTAGCCTGTACACCCTACGAAACGTCAATAAATAAATAAACTCCAAATTAATGTGTGCAGTCCGCTGTGGAGATAAGGTTGAATTTGTTATGTTAATAATTGGATTTACGCTTTGATGAGCTTCGACTCTGCGCTAGTATAAATTGACCCTTATACAATTCTATACTAAAGCAATACTGTCATGAGCAAATCAGCATGTATGCACCAAAAACATCATAATGTCCATTTTTTTACCTACTAAAAAGCATTGAGCGTTTGATTAAACAAGCTTTTAATGTATTACACATCTTAATTAGTTTAATATTTATTTGTAAAATACAATTAATTACTTGGATTGAAACATGAAACAGAATCCCATTTTATTAATTTACTCTAGTATTAAAATGTAAAAAAGCTTCTGGTGTTTTTTTATATTATCTGAACCACAAAGAAATATCTTTGCCCTCCATTTATACCATCAAAAAGTCCTTCTGATGGCAAGAGATCTCTCTGTGTATGTTAAAACTCTAAACAGGGAATTTACAACAGATCGATAAACTTTGAATGAAGTAAGGCAGCAGGTACACAATTTTATTGCACGAGGTAGACTATGGAATGGATTTGAATCTTACCATAATGAGTTCTGATATGACTGTTCAGATTGGTATTAGTGGTGAATGATTTATCACAACCTGCCACTGGGCAAGGTCGCCTGGGCCTCGGTCCACAATGCCTTCGTGCCAACCACTGTGTGAGCTGACGTATCCCACATTTTGGGCATGGCCAGTCTTTTTCACCCAAGTGACGTTTGCTGCAAAATATAACACATTATGAAGTTGTTGATTACAAAAATATTTGTGTATAATCTATGGTGCCTTATTATGTAACTTACAGATGCAATTTCAAATTGAATTTCCTTGTAAAAGCCTTTTGGCAAAAATTACAAATAAGTGTTTTAAGCGGTGCCCAGTGTTTGCATCTCCGCAAAGATCCGCACTCTGGGCACTTTGCCGTGTCTACTTCGATAGGTGCTTCCTTGCTCTCACCATTCAAATCCGATATTTCTTCTTCATCAACATGATGTTCACTAACACTGTTTAAATGTTCAACAATTTCTGGAGATTTGGCGGCGAGGATCGCGTTAGACTTTTCACACTTATCAAGAAAGTTCACTGTTGTATCTAATTCCATTAAACACTGTGAACAAATAGATGATGGTCCCCACACGACATTCAATTGCAGTTTAGTCTTGTTTAAAAGTTTTTCGTATGGTGAAGAACCTTTTATTTTCCTAAATAAGGAGAATAATGTGTCCTTATTTTGTAAACATATCCTGCAGGTGTTTTCTTCAAAATTGTTCATTTTATTTCCATTAATTATAAAAAATGCAAAATTGTAAACACTGACTGATTCTTGCTGGATTATTTTAACGTTTGTGTAAATGTCAATGTCATATGTCATAGCCATCCTATTTTAACGCCTGCCATCCTACCATGGTAATGGTGTCGATTCTGGCATGCTCTCTTTTTTATTCTGTACAGAGAATGGCAAAGATAGACTGTTGTGAAATTTAAGTTTAGAATGAGATAATCATGGAAGAATTGACACCACTACATGCTTACAAAAACTTAAGACAGCAGTTTGTCCTTATCACTCTCTATGCATTGTGACAAAGATAGGTATAGTATTGTTATAATTAGGCAGTATTTCCACGAAAATAAATCTCTACGATGAGTTTATTTTATTATACAGTGTTGGTGCGATTACAACAGATTTTACGACGTTACCTTTATCATAAATATTCGCACTTTGAACACGTTATTGTGAAAGTTGAGTAGTTCTTTTTTTTGGTCCAAATTGCAAGTAGAATAAGGTCGAATGTCTAAAATTTGTTTTATACAGGGTTTAATCGAGATTGTGAACTTAAATATAGTGTAAACTAATTCAAAGAATCAAATCGAAAGGAAAATTAATTATAGGCTGTATGGACTAAATTCCTATAGCCTGCCTAATGGGAAAACAGGGAAAAGATGGACCTCTCTTCACAATCTGTACCCTGCTGTACCCACTGTGACTTGACCACGACTATAGAATCCCCCCCCCCCCCCTCCTGGCACCAAAGCTAGGATCCGCCCTTGATTACGTACTAACATAACGAAACTCATAATAAATGGTGTTAGGGTATGCAACTAAGGGGTGGCAAAAATTATGCCCGGAGCGGCTTAATTTCTAGATCGGGCCCTGGTGGCCACCATAAAGACGCTTTCGATACAAAAAATATCAGTAGTGCCATTGCCTACTCTAACCCAATCCCCTCCCCCGTGGAGCCCTGGAACCTTACTCACCGACAGAAACACATCGCCATCGTACATCGCGACAAAAATTTCATCCCCATCATCTTGATGCGTGGCTATCCACAACCGTGCGTTTTTGTCGAAATTTTTTACCACGTACGACAAAACTGTGGAATATGTTGTCGCCAGCAGTGTTTCCTGACCGATACGACCCAAAAACCTTCAAAAAAAGAGCGTACTCCTTCCTTAAAGGCCGGCATCGCATTTGTGATACTCCTGGTGTTGCAAGTGCCCAAGGGCGACGGTGATCACTTACCATCAGGTGAGCCGTCTGCTCGTATGCCCCCTATAACATAAAAAAAAAACAAAAGTTAGTAAGTAAAACTAGTTTTTACGGGTTAATGCACTAAAACTTTATTTATTTATTGACGTTTCGCAGCCTTTTCAGGTCTGCATCGTCAGAATAATGATTTTATTTAAAATTGTCGAGCTACCTTCGAAAGAATTATATTGAGCGTTCGGTTATTTCATTGGAAGATTTTTAAAATTTTATTGTCTATGTATGAATTTATTATTTAATTTACTTAATAAAGTATTTTATTTAAAATTCTTGTTTGTAATTTTGAGTTTATTTATTTGACCCTAACTACCGTAAACTACCACCGGTTCCAAAATTGGGAGACCTTCCTGAGAAGAACCGGCGAAACAAACTCAAGAGAGGCTTTCTATCTCCTTCTTATGTTAAATTATGCAAACAAAAAGAACTAAAAGTATCTGATGGTCTTACATAGACAATAAAAAATTTAAAAATCTTCCAATGAAATAACCGAACGCTCAATATAATTCTTTCGAAGGTAGCTCGACAATTTTAAATAAAATCATTATTCTGACGATGCAGACCTGAAAAGGCTGCGAAACGTCAATAAATAAATAAAGTTTTCGTGTATTAACCCGTAAAAACTAGTTTTATTTAATGAGTGATGTGCGTGAAAACCTAAGAAACAAAAAAAAGTTAGTAAGGTATAATTTTACTGTGGTCTTCTGTCACGTAGAGATTACTTCCCCAGACGGGCGCTACAATTCGAGCGGTATATCCACTAAGCCCAACCACTTTCAAATTTAATGCCAAATGTAGCGTAAACTGCATACAAAATACTTTTTAATCTTCTATTATATAAAATTCTTGTGTCACGGTGTGCGTAATTGAACTACTCCGAAACGGCTCGACCGATTTTCGTGAAATTTTATATGCATATTCAGTCTGAGAATCGGACAACACCTATTTTTCATCCCCCTAAATGTTAAGGGTGGTCGACACTTAAATTGTTTTTTTGTATAAGATTTTTATATTTTTTTATGCATGTAACTGCTTGATGTTGAAATCTAAAATATAACTAGAAAAAAATTCTCGCGGATCAGGCAGCACACTGGACTCGAACCCGCACCCTTCGCTATCCAGGCGAATGCACTGACCAATTATGCTACCGCGAAATCGAAATTCTTCTCACCATTCTTAAGCTGCAAGGCAGCGCCATTTCCGTTACCGCCAGGCAAGACCATCGATTCTGAACTCTACTGCGAACAACTGATGAAATTAAAGCAAGAATTTGAGAAAAAGCGGCCGGAATGCATCAACAGAGGGAGTGTGGTTTTTCATAATGTGAAAGCTAGACTTCAAACATATTTAGCCACTCAGCAAAAATTAAGAGTTTAACTGGGGGGTGTTTATGCGTCCGCCGAATAGTCCTGACAGATTTCCATCTCTTTCGGCCTCTCCAGGATTCTTTAGGCAGTGTCAGGTTAACATCACGAGAGGACTGCTAAAACCACATGTCGCGGTTTTTTTATCAGAAGCCCCAAAATTTCTAAATCAATATGATCATGTCCCTACCTACAACATGGCAAAAAGTTATCGCACAAAATGGCACCTTCATACTTTAGTTAAATCTAAATAAACTTTATTAAAAAATGTTTTGAATTTTCATAGAAAATGCGAAGAAACTTTTTGCCCACATAATGTAATGCGCTACTAAAAACATGTTGTTTGTAAGGGTCACTAAGAAAGTAAAATCCCAGAGCCGCCAGAACTTACCTTATTTACTGATGGCAAAAAGATACATAATCGAGTTAGCATCAGTGTGTACAATGAACCTAGATATCATATCGAGGAGCTCGATTGGCGCAAGTGGTTAATGCGTTCGGCTGCGATCGTTGAAGTTAAGCAACTTTCGCAGTGGTCGGTCATTGGATGGGTGACCAAAAATTTGCTATCTCGAGTTCCTCCGTGCTTCGGAAGGCACGTTAAGCCGTTGGTCCCGGCTGCATCTGCAGTCGTCAGCACTCGCCAACCCGCACTGGGCCCGCGTGGTGGGTCATGGCCCAATCTCCCTATTCCACCCATACATTAATAGGCTGATGATGATGATCATATCAGATATCAGGTATCAAGTGGCACTGGTACTTATTTACTGACTTTACTAAAATTCTGAGCATTGGATCTAATATTTGTTGTAGAGAATATTGCAACCAATTTGAAATTAATACTGCAAGATATTTGTCGCAGAACCTGTTGCCTCCCTTAAGGTCTCGCTGTGAATGGCCTTTATCAAACTGGCAGGGAGAGATCCTCCCACAGCGGCAACCAGGGTAATGGCGCTGAGATTCCCATCACACCACTAAAATCTGCTGCGCCGAATCTACGGGTACGGCCAGAGTGCACTCAGATTCAGATTCAGACTCAGAAAACAAGCGCGAGAAATAAACAGTGTAATTAAAGCAGGGTGGCCATAGTGGCAGCAGGCAACCTGCTTTAACTACACTGTTTATTTCTCGCGCTTTTTTTCTGAGTCTGAATCGGAATCTGAATCTGAGTGCACTCTGGCCGTACCTTACTGCAGCGCCACACTCTTGGTGCCATACATGGAGGGACGCGAGTCCACAGTCTCTTCTCCCTTCGTGCAGCTACAGCTTACCCTACTTTCTGACCTTACCTGACTTGACCCTGGAACATTACCCACCGACAGATCAACAAAAGGTAGTGTTATTTTTCTGTAGTCTTCTGTAAGATAGGTAGATTACTTCCCCAGACGGGCGCTCAAATTCGAGTGCGAAATTCCGCTATGCCCTACTTCTCCAACATCTAATTGGCTCATTAACCTATTTGTTAGTGAGATGATCTGAGTTGGCATGTCGATAGTGAGAGCGAATGAAAGTGTTCACGTTTGGTAACACATGGCGTGTATCGCATTGCGATGTCCTTTTAACCAGGACCGAACCAGGTAGCTTAAAATTTATATAAATTAGGTAAGAAATAAAAAAAAGCGAGTGTGCTTATGACCACACGACTGAAGTGAGACTTCTTTAACTCCAATGATCTGAAAATCATAAACTTACCGTAAAGATTTGTTGATAGAAAAAAAACCACCAATCCGCGCTGGGTCCGTTATCATCCACCAATCCGCACTGGGTCCGTTATCACCCACCAATTCGCGCTGGGTCCGTTATCACCCACCAAGCACTAGTATTTTGATTCATGAACTATTAATGTATTTTGTGACGGGTATTGTTCATTGTTTACCGATGAGTCACCGGTTCGCACCGTCCGGTCACCGGAACGCAAAAATCGTCACACATTCGCCAGTTTACCCCCCAAGTCAAGCGAGCCTAAAGAAGTTTTGCCTTCAAAATGTTTTTAAAGAGACCTTGCCGATACAATTCGACATTACCTGTGTCATTATAACCAATAAGAGTATGCAATGTATACAGGTAGTATAAGTCCGTAAAAAAATATACTTATTATTTGACTAATTAGTCTTAATTTTTTTTTGTTTTTTAGTGTTATTATATTAGTTATTCATTGACAAAACAGGTTTTTGTTCATCAGAATTGCACCTTCTGAAATCTCTAACGTAGGCAAGCAAAGTTAAACATAGTTCACTTAATCCATACCTGTACTCGACGTTACTAAAAATTTTCACTCGATTACGTTTCCGATCAATTAAAATGCGTAACCGTGCACATGTTACGAGAATGACGGCAACGACAACGCACTCCGTATTCATATTAGTCTAGCGTTATACGAAATTGAATTCTATCACACTATAATACAGTTGATTCAATCAATAGTACACATACGAAATGAATGTTGTTTTTCTTTATGACCACTCGAAAGCATAATCGCGTAAGGATAAAGTTCTATGTGGCGGCGTCCGGCTACCCCAAGAGAAACCGTCACGTTGGGTACATACTAATGGGACATCGCTTAAGTTATAAGTATGGGTGGCCGACTGCGATGACACTCGGTGTCAGGCTGACTTTAGCAAGGGGCAGGCGACCGCGCGATATGAGGTC